TCATCGAACCATTGAGTCCAACAATATTCTATAAAGATAAAGGAAATACCGTTTACAGGTTTTTTTATGAGTTATTCAGTAGATGAAGGAGGTATAAAAGAAAATGTGCTTGAAAAATAGTGCAGACTTTCTTATTTAATTCTATTGTTAGGCTACGATGCCGTACGTATATAACAAATGTAGTTTAATTTTAAGAATATAATGGTACCTGTTACAGAAGTTGTTGATCCACCGGTAGTTCCGCTCGATTGGGAACCTCCTGTAGATCCAGAGTCTGTCCCATCTGTTGTGGTTGTTGTTCCACTGGTGCCTCCAGTTGTCGGGGAATCACCTGTAGAGTCTTTTGTACCAGCGTCAGTACCATCTGTTCCTGTTGCTGTTCCACTGGCACCTCCATTTGTTTGTGTTTCCCCTGTAGTATCTGTTGATCCAGAATCTGTTTCATGGGTTCCGGTTGCTGTTCCACTTGTACCTCCACTCGTTTGTGTTTCCCCTGTAGGAGCTGTTGATCCAGAATCAGTTTCATGGGTCCCGGTCGTTGTTCCACTTGCGTCTCCAGTCGTGTGTGTTTCTCCTGTAGAAACTGTTGAACCAGAATCAGTACCATCTGTTCCTGTTGCTGTTCCACTGGCACCTCCACTTGTTTGTGTTTCTCCTGTAGTATCTGTTGACCCAGAATCAGTACCATGGGTTCCAGTTGTTGTTCCGGTTGAGCCTCCTTCACTCGTCTCCGACCCAGCTGTTGAATGAGAAGTTCCGGAGCCTGTACTGTCAGTACCACTCGTTGTTCCAGAAGTGTCTCCACCTACTTTGGTTTCTTCAGTAGAACCAGTTGGGCCGCTTTCAGAACCTTCTGTTCCGGTCGTTGTTCCAGCATCAACTTCACCCGGACCGACCATCGTACCAGAATCTGTTATTACATGTTTGCTACATAATTCAGCGCATATGAGTCGAATCTTATAGTTGAAACATGTTTGTCCTTCATTATTTGAACATCTTAAACCAAAGTTTGTGTCGCACTGCACAACTTGTGATGTCTTGTCATATGCAATTCCATCAATTGTTTGACATTGG